CAGTAAAAATTCTAATAACGTAGGTAATAAATAAATTTACGGTCAGTTTATGATAAATACACAAACATATAAAACTTACAAAAAACAATTACTAATAAATTAATAAAATATGACTATTTTGAATAACACTATAATTAATTTTTTAAAATGCATACATTTTCAGACATTTTAAAATTAATATAAATAATATTACTTGTTAAAAAAAAAATTATATTAACATCACCTGGAAGTACGGTTTATTAAAGAAAACCGATTTTTAATACCTCTATAAATGTCTGAATTATTGCGATTAATATTGTAAATGCTCGAGATCATAAGAAGCGTAGCAGTCAAGAATTTTAATAAATTAAACGTTTTAAATATTTATTTTAGTTATAATATTTTAGTTTGAGTAATTCAAGTAAATGCGCATAAAGGAAACATTATTATTTTGCGCTGAAAATGTATTTTTCCAAAGAAATATACTACGCATGTAATTTTCAATTTCACAAAAATATTTAATTAATATGCGTGTCGCCGAATGAGTTAAAAAATATAAAAAAGAGGAGGGAATAATTTAAGTAGTTTTTATCTGAGTAACTTAAAATAAACGCTCGGGGACCTTACAAGGCATAAGGACAGAGAGTGAGCAAATTCGTCGACAAAACTGCCGTCATAATCCGGAAGGGTCTTATAGTCTCTCCTACCCTCTCCCTCTTCCTTCGCAGCCGATATACACGTCCTATAAATAGATATATACATATATATGCGTGAAGGATTAAAGACTTAAATTACAAACTCCGCCAGCATATAATAAAGGTTCTAATTCTTCGTCTCTTCTAAATCTGTGTACTTTATCACGTGTCGTTTTCTTAATTCGATGTCTACTTGGCTTATCGCCCGCCTCCCACCAGCCCATGGGTGAGACGCGTAATCCAAACGGTGGCGATGGCAGCGGGCGCAGGTGGAGACGACAACCGACGAGGATTCGGTGTAAAGCGATTACTGAACAACACTCGATAAGCGCAGTCTTTGTGTACGTGGCTAATGCCATTTTTACCTTCTTCGAATAATTCGGCTTTTCGCGCAGTTGGTGGCTGTTGATCTCTTCAACAATTGATAAAACATTTTATGGCTTAAGAATACAAAAATATGCGCATACTAATGCGTTGTGCCATTTTGAATCTTTCCCTCGAAATATTGTCGGTACAATGATGATATAAGAACTGATACGATTTTAATTTGATTCGCTACGGCTTTAAGATAAATATTTTATGAAAAACAAAATAGCGGCTATTTTATTTTATTTCTTTTAATTTGTATTATTTGTATCATAAAAAAGCTTCATGGAAAGAAAAATCCAATAATATGGGAACAATTATGAAGATACGCGTTTCGCGTGGATTAACAACGAACACTTCAAAAAGTATCTCGTTGTTGTAGATTATATTACAATGTAATAATATTATACAAATCAATCATAGAATGACTACTCATATTGGAGGTTATTATTGTTATTGGCGATGTATTTTTTTTTTCGCTTGCGTGTGCATTTTTACTCTTATTTTTTTACTACATCGAAAAGGCGTGGTTTAAGAATTGTTTTCGATTTGTGAAAGAATCGAAAAAACTACATGACCGAGATGAAATTCGGAAATGGCACCCACTAATGACAACAGCATGTTCAGATAAGGGTAATAATTCTTGTGCATGATGGAGAAGACGGAACACGCAAGAGACCCATAAAAAGTATTCGAAAAAAAATAGCCTTTAACTGATAACATTTCTCTTTTTATTTTCCCTCCTCTATGATGTTCGTCGTTTGGTTTTATCACTGTAGGGGTCGGACACTTCCCCGTATAATATACTTCTTTAGTACGCTGATGAACCACAAACACTACTTCATCATGATCGATTAATGGTGGTTTTTTTATTTTGACATAAAAAAAGATATTAATCCGAAAATTATTTCCTCCGGGAATGTTATTTTATCTTTTTTTCTTCGAATTTCAAATTGTACAGTAAAAAAGTATTGAATTTAAAATATTCTCAGTTATCTGAGATTGAATCAATAATATTCGATTCTTGAACTATTCTCATCGATGGGTAATTTATTTTTTAATCTAATATATTGCGCACTATTCGCGAAAATCATAATACTTTGATATAGTTAATTTATTAAAATAAAAATTAAAAAATCTAAAATTTAAATAATTAATTTTTATCGTAATTGCTCTGTATTTCGTGATTTATTAAAAACTAATGATACACTATAAGTCTAACCTCTAGCATGAATATTATGTTATTTTTACTCAAATCCTTCAAGGAAACATTACTCAAACTCACTCTGATACAAGGGAATTTTACCAATTCTTATAGTAACTTTTTTCTATACTTCCATGTATACAATCTTTTCTGTGAACCGTTTGTACCTTACCAGTATAATTAAACCCTGAAAATGAGTTAATTAAAGGACGTAGACGTGTTTGTATTTATTGCCAAAGCATAAATATACCTCAAATTATTTTTGAACATACTTTGTGATTCTATTTTAAGTTACTTAAACAACAACGCATTATTTAATATACTCTGCAGAGTCTAACTTTTTCCCTGTATTTTAAATATTTGGAAATAACTTATTTTAATATTTAATTCGTAGCTCTATTCCTTATATTGTACTATACGATTTTATTATAAAATATTATAGTTTAAGAGGTCCGATTAGAAAAATAAATATATTAAAATAATGTTTACATCTGTTTTAATCAATCTCTCAACAATTGATCGGTTTTAGAACATTTGTGAGATATATTATGTTGCTATATGTTTTGTCTAATGTAACTAAAACCATAAAATCATCTAATTAACTGTCAAAACTATTTCATTTAAACTATGCTTTATATATATACAAAAGAGTGTGAATGTGTATGTTAGGTTAGGTTATATAAATACACAAATTAATTTCTAAGTTCATTAAAACGCTTAATGCCTATAACTTGTGAACTAATTTATTTAAATGAAATCACCAAGTGTCTTGAAAGGCGAAATTAAGCAGAAACCCACTATCAACACATGTTGAATTTTGATGCTGAAGAGTTACCCCTTTCGACGTTATTGAGAATTCGTTAAAACACATCTCGGGATAATGTATTCTTCGTTTAGCTGAAACGTCATCTGTTGTTACCTAATGATTATTCACCGTAAAGTGCCCGAGACGCGTATATAGTAACATCAGCTCCAGTGCACGGGCACTAATATTAAGCATGAAGAGGGAAGAGTTGTGTAGACGGCAAGCGGTATCGGGAGGGGGATGAATGTGTTAAAAGTTATTCATGCAACTTTAAATGCGAATGAAACTTGATTTTCGACGGTGGGAGGTTGTAATAGTAGACACTGTGGAGAGTGGGAAAATGCGTACTGATTAATTATTTGACGAGTACAGACGTATCAAGTCGAGAAACTGGAAGAGAGGTTTTTGTTTTTAAATCGTTGCCATCCATGTGAAAGGATTTCCATGTGAGAGAAGTCGAATTCAAAGAGGGGAAGCTTGCTTCTACCTAGGAGACTGCGGGAACAGTAGAGAATGGTTAAATTTTAATTGATTAGAGTTTATAATTCAAACAGTATGGATATGTTAGTAAACATTAAAATGTGATTGTTGAATATCACAAGTCTTTAATATCGTTCCATAAAAAAAAAAAAAAACATTTCTAAATGGGATTTTGATATTCTTATTGGACAGTGAACTTATTAGAATTTATGATAAAAAAATGAAAATGGTATTCATCAACAGTTAACTGTACTTATTCGGATTTATTTCCATTTTCACAACCCTCCGGAGAAATTGAAAAATAATCATACAATATACAACAATTTTCTGCGAGTATTATCATCTGTATCGGTCTTATCACAATTTTAAAATATAATAGATTCTATATTATCCTTGCTGACTCAGCAAAAACGACGGGAGACAAATGTCTGGGCGTTAGTAATAATAATCTTTTAAAACTTTTATAAATCAGTTATTAATCTTGGGACACTTTTTCCATCGAAAACAATGCCATTAAGTCACAAAAAGTGGGAGCCAAAGTTTCTAATTTATCGACACAATAAAGACATAATCCGGAGCGCCCTCAGACCGTGACATAACAGCCCTGGGCTACGACCTTTAAATGACTTATAAATCCGATCGAGCTGCACTCATAAACTGTTTTCTCATAAACTTGATTTAAAGATTTTCAAAAGCTAGTAAAACAAATAACTTCAAATAAACAATCCGCCGGAAATGTACACCCTTATAGTGATGATATATATAAAGGATGTTCGAAGACGAACTCCCCAAACAAGATTTATTAAAAAAATATTATTTTTCCTATTCACCCTCTTTTAATCCTTCTATTAGACTCGATTTTATTTACTTGCAACACATTAATTTAAAAATGAAACTTTTATTATTGGGGTGTATACTCTACATTCGTCTATAGGACATTTCTATGTAGAACTATTAACTGTCATTATTATTAAGAACGTATCAATTTTTTTCCTCTGTCAATTATTTAAGTGTTTTAAAAGTGTTAAAATGGTTTTAATTAGATTTAAACACTTATAATATTATTATCTGAACATAATAACATAATAGTGGATGGTATTTTCACAAACTGCAATCATAATATATATAGTACACAAATCGAATTCAGCATATTGTCTAGTAATAATCCTTTTAGACCAATAAATTTCAAATTAATTCGAAGCCCGGTATTCCTTTACTAATTAGTACATATTGTGTGTACATTAAATAAACGGATTATTGATATACATATATATTACATTTCAAGATTAATTTCTCGATGGTGCCTTTGAGTCCTATTATATTACGGTTATAAGGTTTCGTGTGTACCCTATGAATCCTTATATTGACACAATTTAACAATACTCAAATAAATAATCAAATTTTACATATAGAATGTAATTGCTATAATACAGCAGTGTTTATTATTACATCAATATAATTTGATTTTCAGATTTTGTGTCGGGGACCGCTTTTATCTGTGCGAAAACAAAATACTATGTGAATATGATTTTGAAGAGAGAATGGTATTCGCAAACATGGCTTACAATCCAGCAACTTTGGCTCAGTTAAAACGGCATGCCACACATATACCGCCAGCGGTATGTATACTACACCACTACATTAACTATAAAATAATGCCTATATTTTAATTTTTAAAAGTAAAAATTTACCTTTACATGTAACATTTCCTAATATTTTATTAAAGGTATTTTATAAACGGATATGAAAATTTGGGTCTGATTAAAAATTAAACATTTTTGTCGGGTATATGCGATAATTTATCATAAACACTTATTTATTAGAAATATTATTTGATTTCCGAATTTTTAAATAAAGGAATTAAAATCAAGTAAAAAATAAACAAGTTCACAACAATAAATGGTTTACCTCACGTAAACGTTTTTAATATGTATGCATCGACTGTGCAACATTCGATTGTCGGCTGTACATTATGTTTACTAAGACTTTTTGAGTTATTTGTTTAAAATTATAATAATTAAGATTTTTGTTAAAATTCGATGTTGTCTGTGCATTCTCATATCTAACACCTAATAGTACCATGTATATTTTATGATAATTAAATGCTTGTGATTTATTTACAATCATTTATTATTGTTCACGATGTCAAATTAATATTCTATCGATATCGTTTGGATGATTTTTGCAACAATGGTTATCATTTTGTACAGATCGGTGCAGGAGGCAGAGCGGACTTACCTATGACAGCGGGAAGTAATGGGACCGGTGACCGTCGTACCACACCAACCGACTCCCATCACCACGGAAATCATCATCATGGACATCATCACGGAGCACCCACCAGTAACGGGCACCAGTTCGGTGGTTCAGGCGCCACCACAAATGGCGATCAGCCTCAACTTCAATTGTACGACGTAAAGTGATGACGCAAAAACACCTACAATTTCTCTTAGTATTGCTCTTTTTAAATTCGATTTTAGAATTATTATTTGTTATTAGTTATCCAGAAGTACATTCTCGGTGGCTAAACACTATTTCCAATCAATCCCATTTGTTACTGACAGGATGCGCTGTTCAGCTAGTCATTACGTTTTAAGAATATTACTTTTTATAAACGCAACATTTTTTTGTTTATTTATTTATTTTTTCATTAGTTAAGACGTGAGAAATAAAACCAACGCCATTTTAAACGATACTCACGCATCGGCGAGTTTTCGAACGAGCCATGCCAATAAAATTTTAGCCTTATTATACATTTACAATATTGGATCTAATTTTTAAAAATATGTATAAAGGTATATATACAATTTAAAATTCCTTTTTGTCTAAACATTAGACAGTTTTTTTTTTACAAAGCATTTTTACCAAATCCTACTTACATTTTTAAATATTAGTTTAGTGTTAAGTACTTGTAAGTGTATGTATGTATGTATTATTATTATTATTATTATTATTATTATTATTATTTTTATTATTATTATTATTATTATTATTATTATTATTATTATTATTAATTTTACTTTACATATAGGATCTCGTTGATTTAAAAAAATATTCTAAGTTACCTTTGTATTGTTTTTAATTTTATTACTATATTTATTAACCGTAAAACGAAAATAAATACCGTAGAGCTGTATACGCGTATACAATATAATGTATATGAAAATTAATAAATAAATACATAATAAATACATTTTTCGTTGATATCATAATATTTTTTAGTTTATTCGCTTTAATCATTCGACTGTTTTCGATCCTTAATACAAAAAATAAACGGTTCGTTTAAACTTGAGCGAAAATCAATGAAAATGTTTTAGATAGTTACATTGCAAAACTAAAATTTTGCTTGTATTTAATTTATTATGTATGTTGTTTAACGTTCCTTTAGGTGTGTACGAAGCGTTACGAACATACTTTCCAAGAACACCTTTAGCGATACGCATCGTAATCCCTAAAATACGGTATAAGAATGAAAGCTTTGTTTTTCTTAACTTAATACAGCATCTAAAATATGAATATTAAAACGCAGTAAGTATAGTTGAACACACGTTGTACTTAATTTATTCATTGCTTGTTCGAGAACTTTAGTAGGTAGTTTGACTTGTATTGCATTATTCAAAATACTACCATTTGCTTAGCTGATTTGTTACGTGAGTTTGCGGCTATTATTATACCACCCACGAAAACGATAAGTTTGCCATCGAAGTTTTTGCGGCCTCGTAAAAATGATAAACCGGCAGTGCATTATTTTTTATCAACGTTCTATGCTAGTCTGCTTTATCGCACCCGCCCATTGTTACGTGACTTCCGAGAAGCAACCCTAGTGATGTACTGCGCTTATACGTGTCTCGTTGCTCGAAATACCTCTCTTCCCTTGCGTTTTTTATTTTTTTTTTCACCGTTTGTCTACGAGTAAACCAGCTAAATCGAACTCGATCAAAAATGCATGAAAACTTCACAAATACGCGAACACTGTGGAAATTTCCGCTCACACCGGAAATGTGAGCAAAAAAAATACGTTGACAACACGACGAAGAGAAGCTTTCCGGATATTATACACGCAGGCGATTTTAACGATACTTTCGAGGCATCGGAGCAATAAACCATTGTTAAATCTTTACAGATGATGTTATTATTTTCATTTCCGCGCTCAAACTACGGACGCATTCCGTCTGTTTCAAAAACTTTTCAGCATAGTGCATGTGGGCATTTTGTTGTAAGAACTCAAAAGCATAAAATAATAATAATATTACCAAGACCATATCGAGTATTAAATAAAAACATACAAGTATAGACACGTCCCGTGAGAAACGGTAGTTCGATGCGATATCAGTCGGATGCAGCAGACATTGAACGTTCGGCCTTTTTGTGTTTGTTAATCTTATAATTTGCATTTTAAGTCTATAAGCAACCTTCGTCTCGTCGTAATATACTATATTATAGAAATAACGAAATTCGACTATTTGTGCACAGCATAACTAAATATTATATTTTAACGTTCATTAAACGAAAATGGTCGATATTTGAAACAGGCATAAATAAGTAACACGCATTGTTCCGATAACTCAGGTTTTAAAGTGGAAAATGCCACGAAACTCAATTATTCCGAACCGTGTATGTTATTACGCATTTACAGTGTTATCAGGTACATACATATATGTTATATATATACGTATTTTATTGTGTTGTGCGGTGACGTTCAACAATAGCTAGGTAGGTTAGAACTCAAGATAAACGCATTAAGACGTCAAGCACGCGTTTAGAACGCCGGGGAAGGATAATTAAATTACGAGGAGCAGAATACCCGCTCACCACCCATCAGACTTGTCACCTGTTCGACAGGACAAAAGAGGATTTCAATCGACGATGGCAGCGTTTAATTGTCACAACACAATGCACCGAGCTTATCAATTTATTAGTGTTGAAAGGAACCCTTCAACTTTCAGAGATTCTATTTTAGTATAATATATTTTCCATTGTTAAGTTTTGATTATTATAACATCCGTTTAGAAATGTTCTGACGTCGATGTGCCCATATTGACACGAAACATTCGGGCCGGTCGGTCGGAGTCGAACATTTGCCATGCATGAGTAAACAGTAATTCACATTTTCGCGAATAATTTATGTAAACCATGCAAATAATGATGTTTAAAACAAGCAATAACAAGTATTAGTTATTTAGAAATTAAATATTTATATAGGTGAGTTTAAATTATATAATACGTCACATTTACATCATTGTCCGTACAGGTGAGTATAACCCGTTTTACACACGACGGTTTCATCCGTACAGACTTTAATTGACAGTAAACTCATGAAACTAATTGCGGCATTCACACAAGATAATGGACGGATTTTTTCCGTACGGACATATCAGTAACTTACGTGAATTAGTGCTCGTTTTCACGAAAAACGATTTTTCTTCGTCTGTCATCTGTTGTCAAAACTGCTCGTTGTCCCTTTCTGTAATAAAAATACATGGATATTGACACAGAAATGTTAATCTCTGTTGTGTAATGCATCTTATGGGATAAGTCTCAAAATATTTACAGAGATAGAAATAAAACCTAAAATGCTTAAGAAGAGGTGTGCATTAATTGGGTGCGTTAATTGGGTAAATACGATTGTTATGTCGTTTTCTACGTAATTACAAACGACGATACAAAAGCCATATGACAATGATGCGTTTTCGATTCATGTTGAAAGCCAACCGAGTTAAAAGTTTAAAAGCAAAATATAACTAAACATTGATGGCTGAAAATAAAAATCCATCATGTGTGAAAATAACGTCCGTTCGGAAGAAATCTGTACGGACGAAACCATCGTGTATGAAATGGGCCTATGAGTTCGTTTTTGATTAGAAAAAAAATAATACGTATTTAAAAAAAAAAAAGCGAAAAAAATATTAGTTTACCGGTTTAAAATTATAAACAATCGGAACTGAAATATTTCCATAATATATTTAGCAAATATTTTAGCAGAAAACCAAAAAAAATTGTGCTCTTTTTAATATTGTTACAAAAATATTTGAAATTAATTACTTTCGGCATTATTTCAATCATCTTCCTTTATATTATCACAGTCGAAATGTAATGAATAATTGTATCATATTAATGAGATGAAAAATGTTAAGCTTAATGTAATTCTATGAAAATAATTTTTTGTTCGCATAATTATGTTTTATATCCAAAAGGGATTAAAATATTACAGCGTGATGGGTGCACATGAAGGTAAATACAGGTATTAAGTATTGGTGTATGAAACAGAATACATTCATATAAGCCCATGCCCAATAGTCTTTTTGGTAGGTAACTTTAATTCGATCAAAGCTAACCATGTGTAAAGTTCTTCAAAAATTGATTTGCATACAGCGTAAACACGTATTCACTACTTAAATGTGGCAAGGTAAATCCTATAGTGAAAAGAACGGGGGGCGGGTTGGAAAGAGGAGGTTGATAATTTAATTTAAAACTTGCCACTTGAACCAACAAATTCATACACGGCAACAGTGTTTCAAACCTCTGCGGTTATAGCTGCGGTGATTCTAAGATTAGCGTTTGGTGTGTAGGAAACAATGAAATTAAGTTTGTTAATTATTATTCCCAGACCGTCAGAGCTCTTCATTCGCATAATACAGAGAGTAGCGAGGAATATTATTATACAAACCGAATATGAGATTTCGACGAAACTTGGTTGGCTGATAACACATACATACACAGAGTACGACGTACTTGACAACTCGTTCGTCTTAACGGTTCTCCACTGTTCTCCTGTCGCACGGCAATAAGATAACGCTGTTTCGAGATAATCCCTTTTGAATATAACTCTTACAGCAGTTAAAGTTAATTGTTATGTTCTAATTTAATTTGATATACGTTGCGCTTCAGCTGTTGTAATCAAAGTCAAATTAAGTTTTTGACAAAGCACATTGGACTTTGGACTTAAAAATCCTAAGAAATATTTTTTCTATTAAAGTTCCACCAATAGCTCTTTAGTAGCGAATATTATTTTCAAGATATATTGTCCATATTATGCCGCACAATCTGCCAATCATATCAATATGTAATACTACAGTTCTAAAATAAATGATTACCCAAAAAAACGAGTGTTAATTAGTCTTACACGTTTTCAATATATTAAAGTCGTCTTATATAGATAAATACATCAAGTCAGAAAAGCTCACTCTGCGACCTGAATTCCCGGTTTCTAAAAGTGAAATAATTAACTATAATTTTATACACAGTTTAAAAATAATTTGGTAACTTAAATATGCTTATAAGTAAGATCTTAAACAAATTATATATCTTAAACTATGAATAAATTAACTATACTTAGTTATCTGTTTCGAATATTGGCCAGCATTAATTTACTTTTAATTGGTACGTTACACAATTATTTACTTATTAATTGTTTAGTAATTAAATAAAGTATGTATACACACGGTAACTAACTTATGGACAGATATAAAAGGAATAATATTTGACATAATATGTTATAAGTATATGTACTAACCCAATTGATGTGAATATTGATTCAATATACATTACAAAATAATCGGTACGTTCACGTAAAAGTATTCGTTATTTAGTAGTAAACGTGATGATGATTAATCATACATCTAGAACAGCAGTTCGGGTTAATATCCAGGTCCTTTTAGGGTTTGTTTACGAGTTTTTTTTTTTTTTACATTGTTTTATTATCGTGTTGGACACGACTCATTTATTTCGATCAACCGCCCACGGCCTGTACGCAGTAAAACCCAACGTTTGCCGTTAATACGCACACAAACACACAAGAGCACGCTTAAAGCATTATACGGT